AATACGTGGGCGGGGATGTACACAGCACTCTGTTGCTCGTCGAGTCGTGCGCCTGCAATACCGTGACCAGCTATGCGCATGCGTTTCGCGAGCACGCATTCTTACGGCGAGAATTTCATCCCAACAGGGATTCTCATTTCGAGGCAATTATTTGCACTTACTATTTACATTTACACTGGCAGAAACTCGTAATTAAATTTTCATACGTGTCACATTTTTTTTTCATTTCAACAACGCAACTATTGATCGATCACAGCGGAAACGCAACTATTTTGGGCTCTATAAAATGATATAACGTTTCTCGATACATTTTAGGCATAACGAACGTGACCAACTAATACCTTGAAATTCATGCTTCTCTTTTATTTTAGTTATATGACTGTATCTTTAAATTATTAAATATTTATATACTTTCGTCTCAATCATTCAGTCGAAACGACGCGATTATATTTGCATACATCACTTAGGAAGTAAGTTAATTAAAGAACTGATATTATCGATTACGAATAAACGTAAATAGAAAAGTTAATGTAAAAAATTACCTGAATTATAAATGACATACAAAATAATAGAAAGCAATTTTTCATTGCAAAAACTACTGTCTACAGTTATTATTTTAACATAAGAACTTAAGCGTGAATATAGAAAAACGACGATGGTTCTCATTATTGATAATCAATATGTTATAAACATATACATAAATTTGTTCATTAAGAAAATAGAAATGTTTTGTGAAATTGTTTTTCTCACGATTAGACATTTTAAATAATTGGCGCATTGATTTCATTTCATCTCATTAATAGAGATGGAATTGGTAGGAAAATTCCCCCTCCATTGCGAAACTTGCAATGACATGCTAATAAAATTATTTTGAAATAGAATTATGAATAAACATAATAAAATTGATGTTGATGTAGCTAATTTTTCTTTTATTTTTACAAAAATCGGTAGTTTCAGTTTTTCTTCTTACGTTGTATGCAAAAGTAAAAGATATTTAATTTATCAGGTAAGCTTCATATGCATTGAATAACATAACCTCGAAGATAAAACTTTCTTCGTAAATTCGTTCAATAAATCTTGTTATTACAAAGATTTTGTTGTTATTAATCTAAATCAAGTTTATTATACAAAATTAAACAGATTAAATTTTAATTTTCACTTTATTACAACAAGAATATATTACGTTTCATTTTGAAAATTTGTTTTCAAGTAATTTTAGATTTTATGGAAACTAACATCAAAATCTCGCTTAACACATTTTCTACATAACATATAATTTTGCAATAAAATATAACTTAACGTGAAACTATTGTTTTAGTGACTACATATCAATTGTATTTATTTCTGACATTCACTGTATCATTTTAAAAACAGGAATAAACAATTATGAGCCAATTTACAATATTATGTTTCAAACAATCTAGAATTTTAAGTAGATATTGGCTAGAAAGATGTTTGAAGCAATATTTATTGTATCATGTAAGAGTATTCTCCAATGGAATTAACAACCGTCATAAAAGTTACATCACCAAAAAGGAAAATGTCAATAAAAACAAAACATTCAAATTGCGAATACTTCAAGATATTAAACAAACTAAGCGAAAAGTAAAAGTAATTATTGAGAAAGAAAACATCTGGACAATACCAAATTTTCTTTGTATGGGGAGAATTTTAACGTCACCGTATTTAAGTTACTTAATTTTATCACAAGATTACCAGGTAAAACGTTATAACATTTAAGTGTATATTTATTCATCATATATCATGTTTATATTATAGATAGCATTGTCGCTGTTAATAATTGCTGGGTTTAGTGATCTAGCAGACGGATGGATTGCACGTACATGGACGTCACAAGCTTCTAAGCTTGGTAGTTTTCTGGATCCTGTTGCAGATAAGTTACTTGTAGGTACATTGTTCCTATCTTTGGCCTGGGTAGGATTGGTTCCCATTCCTTTAACGTGTCTTGTCATTGCAAGAGACATTCTCTTGGTTTCAGCTGCTTCTTACATAAGATATCAATCTTTGCCACCCCCAGTATGTATAGAATTATAACATTATGGACAGATAAATATTTAACTGATTATACTTATATACGCTTAAAATATGTTTCAGAAAACTTTGGTCAAATATTTTGATCCTACATATGCAACAGCACAATTAGCTCCAACATATATAAGTAAAATTAATACTGCTATTCAATTGTTTTTTGTTGCTGGAACATTAGCTGCACCTATCTTTCATTTTGTAAATCATCCAGCTTTAAAAGTTTCTTGTTATATAACAGCATTAACAACATTAGCAGGTGGTGTAAGTTATTTGATATCAAAAAACACATATAAATTACTAAAGAAAAAAACTTCAACAAAGTCATCTCATTAAATGTATGTATTAATGACCACAATAACATTGTTTATTATTTATAAATTTATTATACACCATAATAAATGTTATATTAAATATTTACTATGTACATAAATTAAATTAATAAAAATATTGTTTTTATTTTTTGATCACTCTGTAAAGATTTCTATTTAAGTTCTATCTACATCATAGGTTTCATATATAAACTCTTCGCGGATATTTGTATTGTAACAAAGTCCAATATAATCAATTTCTAATCTGAAAGGTCCTGGCTTTTTGTCAGCAAGTGTAATTCCAAAATTTGTAATGTGAGCATCGCACACAGCACACTGATTTGCATTAATCTCTCCTTTTGTACTAAATACAAATTTTGAAAAGGGAATTCTAACTACTTGCCAATATGGACCACCTCTTGTGTACATAACATAATGATGACAATTGTATTGCGTTATGTCCATATTTCCCTTTTGTAGAATATTTAACATGTAACATCTACCATCTCCTCTGATTCGTAAAACAAGTTCATTATAGTTAGCCCAATTGTAATAATCCCGTCGACCGAAAGATTTGAATTTTTGAATTGAGGTGATATTGCAATATCCAGCACGTGTTGTTTTGCCATCTTTGGGTAAACGAGTATCTAGCATACCATGAAATATTCCAGTACCAAAGGATGATAATTCCAATCTGAAAATATTAATATTTTAATTGGAATATTTCCTAAATTCGCTCGAACTTCTTTCACATGAAAATAGCGTAAAAAGCATTGCACAGTTACTTGGCAGTTGAATGACCATGGTGATAGTCTTTGTCACAATTTACAAGCCATTGATCCAACGATTTTTGAGTTCCATCAAATTTCCACACGGTATCGATTTCATCGACTACGAAATCTTTTGGAAGTAAATAAAATCCAGGTTTTAATTCTTCAACGAATAATTTAGTCTCACTTTTCAAAAGATCGTACGAGTTTCGCAATTGTTGTGAAAAGGTTAAATTTTTTTGTGATTCAGGTTTTTTGTCATACATCACTGGATACAATGATCTAAACGGTTCATAAAACTTTCGTTTAATGACCAGAGAATTTCTACAACGCGGTTTCAATATGCGAAAAATAATTTTTTCCATATTTTCTGTTTCACAGTTAAACCGAAATGGTAACTGTCAAATATGATGAAGTTCATATATGTATTAGAGATAACAAAAATTCCAACCAGTGTAATATGAATTGATTGAATTTCTGTAAAAATCGTGTTATAAATATAATTTTCAATTTGTTCAAAAATCAATTCAACTTTATATTCCTTCCCATTTTTTTCTTTTACTGTCACTTTTAACAGACGAATTAAGAAGTTCAATGATCCTTAATTAACTATTAATGCGCATTATCTGTCACCAATTGCAAAAATGCAACGAAATTTGACAAATTTCATTGAAAAGAAAAATTATCAGTATTTATTATATAGATAAAATGAACAATCATACTTTGCAGTTAACAACGAAATCAGTATGATAGAATTTTTCTTTTCGAAATGGTGGCAATTATAAGTACGTTCAAACTTAAAACCAGATTCAATGTAAGATAAGGATGGTACTGTTCAGACATAGTAAGTTATTAAACAATAGAAATTTAATTTTCTTAAAAAATCGTGACAAAATTAAAAATGCGTTTCACATAAAATTTATGTCGAGTGATGCTGTAGAAAGTGTAGATATAAAATTATCTAATGAGTAAGCATGTCACATGTTTTCTAACCTAAATGTTAATAATATGTTTATTACGTTTTTATATTTAATGTTACATATACAAATATTATGAGAATATGTAATATAGTTATTTAAATAAAATACATTATTATATGATAATTTATTATTACATTATAGTTATGATGTAATATAGTTATTTAAATAAAATATATTATCGTATGACCATTATTACTTATTTCTTTAGCTCAACATTTACATTATCAACTGGAAAATATGCACGATTTACATCTGGGAGTGTTATTGCTTCGATGGGAAACACATCAGTTATGACCACTGTAGTTAGAAAAAATGTGCCATGTGATGATAATGTGATTCCATTAACAGTAAACTATAGGCAGAAAGCCTCTGCAATTGGACGTATACCAACAAATTTTCTCCGTAGAGAAATAGGTTATACGGATCATGAGATCCTTATTAGCCGAATAATAGACAGATCTTTAAGGCCTCTATTTAATGCAGAATATTGTTATGAGACCCAAATAGTATGTAATTTATTAGCTACTGATGGAATTAATAATCCGGATGTGTTATGTATTAATGCTGCGTCTGCAGCTTTAAGTATTTCGGATATTCCATGGACTGGACCTGTGGCAGCTGTACGAGTTGGTCTAATTGACAGTGCATATGTAATTAATCCTTCAAAGCGTGAGCTTCAACAAAGTAAATTAAACCTTGTTCTGTCATGTTTGTCCAAAAATTTAATTGTTATGATTGAAGGTACAGCAAATGAAATTCTAGAACCAGAGCTTCGAAAAGCAATAAAAATAGGTGCTAAAGAATGTCAAACAATTATAGAATCTATAATGAAATTGCAAAAGAAAATTGGTAAACCTAAGTTGAAAATTGTTAAACACAGTGAATTAAACAGTGATGTGAAAACGTTTGTAAGAAATTTTGCAGAACATGAATTACGTACAATTTTCAATTGTCATTCCTATGACAAAGTTTCACGAGACGATGCTATTTCTAATCTTAGAAACAGAATGTTGGAAAGTATAACAAATCGTGATTCAGACTTTATCAAGAATGCTACAAAAGTTTTTAGCGAAATTACTAAGGAAACTTTTAGATCCGTAATATTTGAAACGGATAAAAGGTAACTTTCGTTTATATAAGAGAAATTCAATTATGGCTATTAATCCATAGAAACAAGTATAACAAATTAAACGATTTTAGATGTGATGGTCGTAATTTAGACGAATTGAGAAATATAGAATGCCAGATTAATTTATTTGAGCCTCTTCATGGTTCTGCATTTTTCCAACGGGGACAAACTCAAGTTCTATGCACGGTAACTCTTGACAGTATAGAAAATTCTCTTAAACTGGATACCATGTCAATGTTATCTAGGTAGTTCATTTATTAATATTTTTCAAATATCTATTCAGTATCAATAAATATCATTTTTTGCAGTGGTGTAAAAGAAAAAAATTTTTTTCTACATTATGAGTTTCCACCATATGCTGTAAATGAAACAGGTAAACTTACGGGAATTGATCGTAGAGAAATTGGTCATGGAGCATTAGCAGAGAAAGGGTTGCAAGCAATTATACCAAAAGATTATCCATTTACTATAAGACTGACAAGCGAGGTATTAGAATCTAATGGTGAGTTGCTTAAATAAAAAAAAAAAAAAAAAGGAAAAAGAACAAGCAAAAAAAAAAATAGTAGATAACTAGTAATTTAAATATTTTTGCTTCATTTAAAGGTTCGTCTTCTATGGCTTCTATTTGCGGTGGTAGTCTAGCATTGATAGATGCAGGTGTTCCAATATTATCTCCTGTTGCTGGTGTAGCTATGGGATTGATATCTAATCCTACTACTCAATTAACTAATGAAGATTATAAAATTTTAACTGATATATCAGTAATTTCATATTAATTACTATTTAAATATGATTTACAAAATGCAAAAGTTAATTTTTGACTTTTTATATGAACAGGGCATAGAAGATCATTTTGGAGACATGGATTTTAAAATTGCGGGTACAAAAAGAGGATTTACCGCTTTGCAAGTCGATGTAAAAGTAGCGGGCATTTCTTCAAAACTAACAATGAAAACTATTGAAAAAGCACATATCGCCAAAAATCGAATTATTGCTATCATGAATACGACATTGTCTTCTGCATCTCACAATAAGAAAAAAGCAAATAAACCTGTAATCGATACTATGGAAATACCCGTGCATCAAAGAGGAAAATTTCTTGGAGTTGGAGGAATAAACTTAAAAAATATTTTCTACGAGACTGGAGTTAATGTAAATTTAAAAAGGAAACTTTAATCAATTACTTTATTGCAAAATAAGTTAATCTATTATATTATTCTCTTTTATATAGATACATTCGGAAGACAATATAACGTTTTCCATATTTGCGCCCAATCAAAATGCTATGGATGAAGCCAAAAATATGATAAATGAAATTCTAGAGAAAAAGGTGGAACCAGTTTTGACATTCGGTGATATTTACACAGCAAAAATAACTGAAATTCGTGAAACTGGAGTTATGGTTGTATTATATCCCAACATGATACCAACATTATTACCTAATTCGCAGTTAGATCAACGGAAAATTCATCATCCTAGTGTACTTGGATTGAATGTTGGAGATGAAATAAAAGTGAAATATTTTGGACGAGATCCCGTAAATGGGCACGTTAGATTATCTCGAAAAGTGTTGCAAGGCCCAATCTTTTTTGAAAAAGATTACAATACTGTTGAAAATTAGAAATAATTGTTATACTTTTTTATATGTATTCCTAAGATGATTTTATATATATTCCTATGATGTAATATTAATTTTGTTTATACATTAATGATAATAAAAAAATTATTTTACGTAATTGTACGTAATTACGTTTAAAGATTTTATTTTCATTAAATGATATTAATAATATTTTTTTCGTTGAATATGTATCATTTATTAGTGTTAAATCATCATTGAATCAATTAGTTTTCGATCGACCAACTGATATTTAACTTATTTCAACTTAGATAGATTTCATTTCTTTTCTTTCTTCCTTGCTTTCACTACAGTGATAAAATAACTTATATATTAAAAGTGCTTTAAAGTTAAGATATGAGAAATGATTTCACGTTTTCTTTATCGTTACATTTTTAAACGGACATCTAGCTTTATTCTTGGTATCGTTATCGCGTCAGTGCTTTTTGAAAGAGCTTACGATCATGCTTGTGAAGAGATATTTGAATAGATAAACGAAGGAGTATGCTATTGATTTTTTTCTATAAAATTATAAACGTTTGATAAGTTATTGCAGGGTAACACAAATTTGAAAATAAACATATTTCCAAGCTATTTTTACATGTTTATCAAGCGAATTATGTAATTAGTTAATCCATTTTATATTATCATCTCTTTCACAGAGACTTTGGACACACATAAAACACAAGTATGAAAATCCACCACAGAGTTATCAAAAAAGATCTATCAAGGAAGGAACATCTGATTTCTGAGAAGAAATATCTAATGAAGACACGAAAAAAGGCTGAATATTTTATGCTTTGTTCATACAACAAAGAAATTACTATTCTATAAATAAAGAAAGAGATTTTCTTAATGAAAATAGCTTCTGAACTGATAAAATAAAATAAATTCCGAATAATATAGAAGAATAATAATGAAGAAATAGAATAGAATAAAGAATAAAAACCCAAATGGGTTTTCAAGTTTCTCGTGCATTATGATATTCATTTTTATCATGGTAATATAGTTTTCTTCGCGTATTCGCATGTAAATTTACACACTAACAATTTTGCAAGCCGACAATATTCTAAGAAAATCTCTTTTAGAATTTGACTTTGTGAAGTATTTTATCAGAGTTGATTTGCAGAGTTGATTTCACTCGTTTCCAGTTATCGACAAAAAATTACCATGTCATATGATTAGTTGTCCAACACATCAATAAAATACTCAAGTTCCCAATTTTATTTTTTAAGTAT